CGGTTAAGCCAACCAACTGAAGCTTAAGATGCAGAGGGTTGGAATAGTTGAAAACCAATTTAGCCTTCACACATACAGGGAAAGTGTAAGTGGCATGTTCAAGAATTAAGCTTTGGCACATTATACTGAACGGGTCTGCAAAAGGAAAAAAAAAAGATGTGTGTATATTTCCTCAACAGGTCAATCAAATAATCATGTTAAGGCATCCAACCTTTATCTTAAGCATGAGTAAATGTCAATAACAATTCATATATTTGGGGATCGTTCCTTTACCTTTATTGAGATTAATGGGGTAAATAAATACTTAGTGGCTTAAAAACATACCAAATTACCAACTATATTAAAGCTATGTCCCTGTCTTCAATTCTGTCTTTTTCAGTGGCACCAAGAAACATGCTTGATTAACAATTTTCAAAGCAATAAATATTATCAAATTATCATTATATGCAAGGTACAGCACACCATGCTTAGACACAACATGGTACACAAAAAATAAATACATAGAGTCCTTCCAGTCAATGAATTTACATTCAGTAAAAGGTAATGAGATATGAGCCCCACTATTTAAAAATGCAAGAACTAGTAGGACTCATAGGGAGGACAGATATTCCACTGGGAGGATGTGATTTCTCTTGGGAAGAGGTGATGCATGATAAAAGAGCACTTTGGAATGGGCAACATTCCAAAACATGCAGATTCAGTTAAGGAAAAAAAAATAGTAATGCAGCACCTTAGAAAGGGTGTGTTGTAAAAGGAGGTGAGGTTAAAATAATAATAATAATCTGGGCCATATTATGGACAGCCATCATTATTACAAAGAATTTACTTTGCTTAAATTGATAAGTGCTAAAAAGTTATTGGACAACTCTGATCAAATTCTAGATCAGAACACTGATTTTTTGAAAGATGAATTTCAGTAGAGACAGAAGTCAGACAGATTGGTTCAGGAAAACCCCAATCATAGTGGTGGTATTGAAAAGGGAGAGGAGGAATTGGGTGGAAGACTGCCAATGAGCAAATTATAAGTGTGGACTAAATGCTCAATCTGGGTTTCAGGCTAGGGGGTTGAACATAGAAAGCTGCCATGAACAGAAATGAGGACTCTGCTTCTATGATGGGGAATCTAAATAGAATTGATGTGTTTATTTTAAACACATTAGATCTGAATTGGCAGAAACCTCTTACCTCCTGGCTCAATATCACAATTTCTCTAAAACTAGGATATATTCATCACTGCATAAATTAGTGGAAAGGATTTCTTTTTCTGGCCCATCCAGAAATAATAAACTGCTATGTACACTAAACTTTGGCTTTATCCATTTTAAATTCATTTCTTGCCAACTTGAAAGCATTTACTTAGACAAGATTTTGGCCAACATAGTCATATCCACTGCCATAGGGTTTATTCCAACTCATAGTGACCCTATAGAACAGAGCAGAACTGCCCCACAGGGTTTCCAAGGCTGCAAATCCCTATGGAAGCAGACTGCCTCATCTTTCTCCTGCAGAGAGGCTGGTGGGTTTCAACCATGGACCTTTTGGTTAGCAGACAAATGCCTTAAACACAACACAACCAGAGCTCCTTAACCTAGTCATAGAACACATGAATGATAAACTTCAATAACCTTATATAGGCAGATCCCTGATTATGAACTTCTGATTTCCTTATAGACAACTCCTACTTGCCCATTAATGTTACATAAATTTTCCCTCAGTTTGAAATGACTGAATCAACCCCTACTCACAACATATTCTTCATCACAATCACCTTCTTGCTGCATGAATCAAAAACCAAACCAAACTCACTACTATCAAGTCGATTCTGACTCATAGTGACATCCTTCAGGTTTCTGAGGTGGTAAATCTTTACAGAAGTAGATTGCCCACTCTTTCTTCAGCAGAGTGGCTGGTGGACTTGAACCACCAACCTTCTGGCCTTAGGCACTACTCCACCAGAGTTCCTTCCTTGCTGTACAGGCAGGTTTTAAATCACTGAAAAGCCTTTTCTAGCACTGAAGTAAGACTTATTAAGAACCATACACACCTGTTCTGACTCACTTACAAATTCCACTTAAAGAATTAAAGACACAGGAATGAATCCCATTTGTCACCAAGAGATTGTCTCGGGAAACAATAAAAAACTTGTAGTTAAGGCAAATAATTTTTAAGGCATAAGTCTGCAATCCTTTTAATATCATGCTTGAGCATTTTCTAAAATGCTCATCTGAGGATCACATGATTTTTTTCTGGAAATGACTTTTTTTGACTTACATGATCAGGCCCCAGATGTTTCTCAACCTGTTAAAATTGGAGAAAACTGGATAAAGTTTCTGTTTTTTCCTGCTTGGTAGAAAAGATAACTACCTACGTAGGTTTAGTTGCCCAGGAAGACATTTACAAGCTTTGTACATAATTTAATTATTTTAGTTTTCTTGTTTTCTACAGACTATTTGAATCCCATTAGTCATATCTTCACTGACTCACCTTTGTCATTCTGCTGCTTCTCTCATTAAAGTTACAAGAAACATCTCTATATACCCATTCACATTTTGTGTAACAGTTATGATTTTAATGATTAAAGAATTATGATTTGGTAAGATATGATTTGATATGATTTGTTCCTTTCCCAAATATTTAAACTTTGCTTCATATTGCAGATCATACATCCCAAATGATTAATGATTAAGTGGTCTGAGATATACCATCCCTAGTCTCATAATGACTTCCATTAGTTGTAGGTTTTGCCCAAAATGAATTATAACAACAAGGCTTTTTAGAAGTGTGAAAATATTGAAAAGATAATCTGTGGATCTTGTACAATCACAGATTAACTGTTGTGGAGATCTGCTCAGAACAGAGGGAAAAATGAGAGAGAAAATAAAAAAAGATGGAGAAAGAAAATAGAAGAAATCTTGCCTGGATGAATTCTTAACCTCTAACTTTGATGGGTAAGAGAATTTATAGGTTTGCATTTTGACAAGGAACAGTTACCCTTTCACCAGCCCATTTTTATGTTTCTTTAGGATTCATTAGTATCTTCAAACAAGTTCTAAAAGAACTTTTGTGTTAGGTTATTGTTATGGCTTGAATTGTGTCTCTCCAAAATATGTGTTGTAAATCCTAACCCCTATTCTTTTGTTATGCTTCATGGTTTAAAATTAGGAATAGTGTGTGTCAGGGATGTATCCTTTCACCATACTTATTCAATTTATATGCTGAGCAAATAATCCTAGAAGTTGGGCTACATGAAGAAGAATTAGAAAAAGACTCATTAACAACCTGTAATATGCTGATAACACAACCTTGTTTTTGCTAAAAATGAAGAAAATTTGAAGCACTTACAATTAAGATCACACTACAACCTTCAGTATGGATTACATCTCAACATAAAGAAAACAAAAATCCTTACAGTTGGACCAATAAGTAACATCATGATAAATGGAGAAGAGATTGAAGTTCTCAGGAATTTCATTTTACTTGGATCCACAATTGACACCCATGGAAGCGCCACTCAAGAAATCAGATGACATATTGCACAGGGAATATATGCTGCAAAAGACCTCTTTAAAATGTTAAAGAGCAAAGATGTCACTTTAAAGAATGCAGTGTGCTTACCCTAAACCATGGTATTTCCAATTGCTTCAAATGCACGTGAAAACTAGACAATGAATAAGGAAGACTGAAGGCGAGTTGATTCTTTTGAATTGTGGTGTTGGCAAAGAATACTGAAAATACAACAGACTGCCAGAAGAATGATCAAATCTGTCTTGGAAGAAGTGTAGCTGGATTGCTCCTTCTTGTTGTTATTGTTAGGTGCCATTGAGTCTTTTCCGACTCATAGCGACCCCATGCACAGCAGAACAAAACACTGCCCTTGCCAGCTCCACGATCCCTGCTATACTTGAGCCCATCATCACAGCCACCAAGTCAATCTATTTCGTTGAAGGCCTCCCCCTCTTTCGTTGACCCTCCACCCTATCAAGCATGACATCCTTCTCCAGGGAATGGTCCCTTCTGACAACATGACCAAAATAGGTGAGACGAAGTCTGGCCATTCTCACTTCCAAGGAGCACTTTGGGTGCACTTCCTCCAGGACAGATCTGTTAGTTCTTTTAGCAGTCCATGGTACTTTCAGCATTCTTCACCAGCACCGCAACTCAAAAGCATCAACTCTTCTTTCGGTCTTTCTTATTCATTGTCCAGCTCTCACATGAATATGAGGCAATTGGAAATATCATGGCTTGTGTCAGGTGCACCTAGTCCCCAAGGAGACATCCTTGCTCCTCAGCACTTGAAACAGTTCTTTCACGGTTGACTTTCCCAATGCTCCTTAGAAGAGAGAATTGCAGACTTCATCTCACGTACTTTGGTCATGTTGTCAGAAGGGACTATTCCCTGGAGAAGGGTATCATGCTTGGTAAGGTGGAGAGTCATCGAAAAAGGGGAAGACCCTCAATGAGGTAGACTGACACAGTGGCTGCAAAGACTAGCTCAAGCATAGCAAGGATTGCAAGGATGGAGCAGGACTGTGCTGTGTTGTACATAGGGTCACTGAACTGAAATCAACTCATAGAGAAGCAAGCAGAGATGAGGAAAGATAGATGCCACACCACATGAAGATCACCAAGGAACCAAGGAATAAGGACCTTCTGCCACAGCTGACAGAGAGAAAAACCCTTCCACTAGAGCTGGCACTTGAATCTGGACTTCTAGCTTCCTGAATTGTGAGAAATTAAATTTTATTTGTGAAACCTACCCATTTGTGATATTTCTGGTATAGCATTATAGCAGCACAAGATAACTAAGATAGTCACCATAATCATAATAATCAGAATGGATGCTATACTAAACATCAAAGGGAATAAAACTAAAATTGTTATAGGAAAATAGCCATGTGATATTTGTGTGTGCTCTATAAATAGCGCTATTGGCTTTATTCTAAAAAGCCAAGAAAAACACTCAAATATTGGTTTATTGTTTATTCACTGAGAGTGAGTACCTGAAGGAGAAGGCTGTCCTTTAACGACACCATTTTTTGTTTTTTCTTCTGAATTCATTACTTCCTTGTAGATAAGTTCTGTAAGATAGAGTTATCAGTGTTATATGAAGCAAGTTTGTTCTTATTCCACAGAGAAATTCATTAGTTAATGACAAAAATAACATTTTGATGAGGCTGAATAAATTGAAAATCAATTGTTTCTCCTTTTCTCCCCTTTTTCTTCCTTTCCTTGCAATTAGCACAGAACCTAGTACAAATTAAATGCATGAAAGAATGAAGAATACATATTGTAATTGTGTTCTGAATTCTTTTTAGGTGTACTGATGCATTTTTACTTTTCCCTTTGCTG